TGGCAGAATCAGAATGTGTTGACTTTCTACACAGGTGACCATATTTTACCATGATTTTCAGATCATTAGTGATTTGTTTTTTTTGACTGTTCCCTTCAGGGATCACCAGAGAGTGAACTCACATGAAAGATTTGGCGATTGTTTTACACCGGATGCCATTCCTGTCACAACCCGGGCTCCGACTGGCAGTGTCAGGATTAAGAAGGGCTGCAGCACTGAAGCACAGAGCTAAAGATGGACTGTGTCAAATTATTCACATGTAAAATTATGTTTTTCCCCTGAAAATATAGAATTTATAACAAATAAAGCTTATTGGTGTAAAAAAAAAAAAAAAAAACAGTTTTAAACATAGCTTTCATTCCTATGACTTTCTGTTTATTAGTTTTTTATTTTTTTGAGCAATTTCTTTTCCAACAAATCGGCCAAAAAATAGAAACATACTCTGAAACTGCAAGTAACTTAAGTACAAAAAGGAAAATTGTAGCTCAGGTCAAATTTCTTTGTTCCAACTGGACCTTTGCTGTTTTCACATGAAATTCAAAAAGACCGTTAAGAAATTCAAATGCTATTTTCTCCATTTAAACTTGGTTAAACGTGTGGATTTTGCACTTTCTGAGCAAAATGCAAAGCAATATACAGCCTCAAGTTATCAAAGATCTGCTCATTTAATAAAGTTAAAATATGATCTTGGAAAAAAACTGCAACAAGAGACAGATTTGGCCCGTGGACCTTCAGTTTGACACCTCTAGTCCAATAAGTGACCATTTACACGTTTAGTTTATTCAAAATACTGAAATATTCTTCTGTGTTTGCACCTCCGGCCCTCACACAGGCAGAGTTTAAGTGGCAAAAATACATAAAACAGATCGTGTTCCAAAACCAAGATTGTTTTAAGAGTTAGGTTTTAGTGCTTCGTACGGACAAGAGAAAATGAGCATTTAAAATATAATAAAGATGTGTTTCCACTTCAGGATCATTTGACCAGGATGGATTTAGTTCAGGTTAATAAAATGGCCCTACAGTCTGTCTTGCATGACTATTATTATCATGTGCCGTAAACAACAACAAAGTCCTTTTTACTGGTTTTCTGCATCTGTTTCAATCTGTCACCATCAAACTCTGAAATGATTAATATCTAAAAGGAAACCAGTCTAGAAATAACTACAAGAAACTTTGGAGAATCTTTAGGCAAGTTAGAAACGTCCTGTTTGTCTTTCACCAGGTGGTAAGGTAAAGGTGTTTCAGTTAAAAAAAAAAATCGTTTCATGAGCTTGTCTGCGGGGTCGCAGTGAGCTGGTGCCAATCTCCTGCGGCCGTTTGGCGAGAGGCGACGCCAGTGCACCACATGGACGCTAACGTCCCTGCGACTGTTGGTCGCTCTAAAAATGGAGAAAATAGGCTAAATGTTGTTTCAGTGCTGTGTGTGCAACTATAACGAGCAAAGCTGCCAAGGTTTGAGAGAGCAACTTTTAAAAATCAGCATGCACCCACAGATTTAGGACACGATCGAGAGACTTTGGGAACAAAGACAGGCGGGTTTCCTCATCATGATGTCATTTTTAAAATATGAACATGCTTTCCGTACAGCTCCGGCACTCTGGAGGCAGACGGTTATTTTGAAGTTGTTCAAAATTCAAGCAAGCTGCAGCTCATGCGAGGGAACAGAACCCTCGCCAACACTTTGGAGACACTTTGCGAATGACCTTTGCTTTCTCGTCGCCAACACTTGAAAACCAGTGAGATACGAATGAGAAACATTTCCTCTCTCTCACTCGCATCTTTAAAGTGTGGAGCTACTTTAAATGTGAGCTCTGGGCCTTCACAGCTAACTGCTAACACTGATGTGTGTTACACCAAGCACAGCTTCAAGAAACGCCCCGAGACCCCCCACCACTCACTCTTTTCCTCTGTGCCTTCTGTCTTCGGGCCTTTGACCATCACAAGGACTCCACAGAGTGTCACACAACCCACCTCCTCCTCCCATTCACCTCCCACCCCCTGAGCTGCGGCCCCCATACTGGCTGCTGGCCTTTCGCGGCCGTCTGATCCGTATTTCAGAGGCGGCAGCGGTGCCACCGAGGAGGTATAATCCAACATTAAAGCAAGGAGGCCCGGGCTGGAAGCACAGGCGCAGGTTCACAAGGTCCTGGAAATCTTCAATTTGGATTTCCGCAGCGTTTGCAGTCGCCTCCAAGGTGCTGGCGCGCAGGTTTTAAAGGAGAGTGAACATCTTCTTGTGAGGAAAAGGGCGGACACTAGACGGCTCAGCTGGCAGCGAGAGCCTAGACTTTCGTAACAAGATCCATATTTACTTCCTATTACAACATCGTGGCCAACAAACAATAAAATGAGTCAACCATGAAGTGATTTCTGTCAAACCTAATTTAGTATAAATAAAAACTCCAAAATGAACTCAGTATTTGGATGGAACATCTAATAAGACTCAAAATGGGAGGTAGAGTTTTCAATCATAAATGATTATACTGACATTTATTTAGTTCCCCAAAAATATATATTCTTTAAAGACAAAGTCATATCCGGTATTTACAAATTGAAAAGTTTCCATTCGCAACAGACGAAACAAAGAAAAAGCACCAAAGAGAGAAAAACAAAAAAATCTGCAGCCGTCTCCGTTGAAGCTTCGACGACGACGGGTCGCCCTTTCACAAAAATAGCCTTCATTTATTTGTTTATTTATTGTTTTATTATTAAATAAAATCTTTTTTTTATTTTTTTTTATTTTATAGAATTTTTTTCCTCATAGTGTTGACGTGAGAACTCGCTGCGGCGCTGATCCATGGTGAGGTCTGAGGGGGAGGGGGGGACAAGAAAACAAAATCAGTCAAACGTGTTGAGTTCATAAAAATAAATAAAAATAATAATGTTTGTATGTTTTAGCACAACTGGAATCTATTCCCACTAATTAAAATCTACTTTATTAAATTGCTTCGTGTGTTTTGATGCTCTGCTGCGTCTATCACAGGGTGGGGGTGTGTGAATAAACAGAGGCTGATTATTTAAATGACACAGGTGGTGATAAACTCGTTTAGGAGGGGATGGCGAGGGGGGTTGTGTCCTGGACCGCTGCCTGATGAGGCGTTAAAGTGTGTGTGTGTGTTGGGGGGGCTATAAATTACATGATTTATGGCTGCAGTGTCCCTCCTGCTCGCTCAGATGAATGTTTACCTCTAATTTCAGGTTCGTTAACACGAGGCGGTGTCAGTAAAAGATCTGGGAGTTTACCTGTCACTGATCAGCTGGAGGGGGGGCTTCAGGGGGTCAGGCCTGCGCTCCCTTTCATCATCTGAAAAAATAAGAGTCGAATAAAAGAAATTAAATTTGAACTGAATTTAACTGCATGTCCCCTTGCTGTGTCCACGCTGCCACATAAGTCCAAGTATTATTTTAAGGTGATCGGTGTTGTGCTGAGATTTGTTTCCCTGCCAGATTTTCTCCATTTTCCTCGTTGTTTTAAAGGAGGATGTTCAAAAGGAACCATCTACATGGGGTTTGCCTCTTATTTGTCCACTCTGGCAGCAGAAACACATCCTATCACCTCAAAGATGGTTCCCCATGTGCTGTGAATTTTATTATTTATTTAAACACTTATTTTACCAGGAAATAAATCCATTATCAATAATATATTTTATGTGCTGGAATGCAAGAAGATCACGTGTGTCCAACACATTTGACTTGTTACCTCATGAGGCACACATCCTTAGAGGTTTACTCCTCTAGGCCAACATTTGTTCATTTTAACTGGGGGGCACACCCTGATGTGGCCTGTTTTAGTGGGGAACACATCTCTATACAGCACCTCGAAGACATAATAAATATTTTTGACCTAATAAAATTGAGCTCGTACCATCTCCTTTTGGGCTCAAGCTTCCAGTTGACTCCACGTCGCTGTCGTTTTCCGTCCCTGACGTCTCCGCGCCAGCCGCCGCCGCGTGCCGCGCGTCATGACGCGCAGCCGGCACTGCGCCTTGGAGAGGCAGGTGTCCGGCCGGCGCGCCACCGAGGAGCGACCTCATGTTCAAAAGAGAGTTGGCATTGAGCAGAGCCGCGTTGGCCCAGTTGTGCAGCTTGCCAATCTGGCACGTGTATATTCCGTGACCCGGGAGTAAAGCCGGGTGACTGGCGGGCGCCAAGGCGGCCTGGTGCGCGTAGGCCGCCGGGGAGGGTTTTTTCGAGCTGTCGGGGGCCGTGGCGGTTTCAGCCAGGGACCAGATTTTCGGTTTGCTCTGCGGGGGTCTCTGACACTCCTGTCTGCCGGGGGAACGGTCCACAGCAAGCTTGACAGCGGCCCCCCCTCCACGCAGAGCCTCCACAGAAAGCGTCCTGCTGCTCTCCGAGGCCTGCTCTCTGACTGACAGGCCCGCCTCCCCCTCTCCCCTCCCGGAGCCCCCCTCGGGCCTCTCGAAGTCCACGGTCTCCAGATCGATCTCCTCGTCCTCGTCCTCGTCGTCGCTCGCGGTCTTGCCGGGCTCGTCCTCGTTGTCGCTGCTGAAGATGCGGCCGTCGCGGTCCTCTGCGCTGCGGCCCCACGTCACCTTGTTCTCCTTCTTCAGGCGCCTGCGCGCGTTCGCGAACCACGTCGACACCTGGAAGTGAAAAGCGCGCGTTTATCTTCTGATTATTAAACCATGGCGTTTTATTAACCTCTTCAAATAAAATAAGAAATGGACATGAAACTTTTCACTGCCGTGGTCACACTTTTTTTTTTATCACGAACTGTTCTAAATGTAGAGGAAAAAAGTTGTACCTGTTTATAAACATTTAGGAAATCTTTTGTCTTTTCGTGTTTTATTTAATGAGAAATGAAAAGTATCCGTTGCCAGAAGTAAAGGAAGAGGGAGCTGGGATTGAACCCGCGACCTCTGGACTGGTGATCATCTCTGAATTAAAAGTTTATGCCTTCCTGTTAAAAAACACCAATCTTTTTAGTTCTTTTTACTTTTTCAGACCTTCTCCTCCCGCCCACCTGAGTGAGAGTCATCCTGGTGATGATGGCCAGCATGATCTTCTCCCCCTTGGTGGGGTAGGGGTTCTTCTGGTGCTCCTGCAGCCAGGCCTTCAGGGTGCTGGTGGTCTCCCTGGTGGCTGTCTTGGCCCTGGACGGGTCCCCGTATGGATACTGGCCGTACGGGTAGAAGCCCTGAGCGGCGTGGACCGGCAGGGAAGCCGGGTGGGCCCCCGGACTGTCCTTCAGCTCATACTGGGAGCCCTGGAATGTCAACATGGGGGAGGGTGAGCAACTTGTTGAATGGACATTTACTTTAACAGATAATAAATAACATATTTTAGTATTTTTGTTTATTTCTTCTTTGAAATTATAAATAATAAATCCTGCTACTTATT